TCATATTTATATTCCTGTTAGTATGGATGCAAAAATATATCAGTTTTCACTTTTCATTGATGAGTAAATAAATATAAAAATAAAATACAATAAAGGGTTAAATTTATCTTGTAATCTTCCGCTATGCCTTTAAATATAGTACAATATCAGTAAACATTCAAATATACAAAATCAGCAGTTATATATATATTTTTTAAAATTTATATTCAGATAGAATTTTTGTATAGTATATTTCGTTATTTTATTATTGAGAAACTATTATAGGTTTTCTATTCAATTTTAATGCATCAATTTAAACTAAATAAAATAAAAACTTAAAGTAAAAATAGTTTTAAAAATATATATATTTTATAATATTACAGTTAACATTCATTTTAAGTAATGAAAATGGATTTAGTTTTAGTTAACTACGTTCACATTCATATTTATAGTATGTCTTTATTGTAATAATCGTTGCATGTGTGATAATGCTTTGTCGCTGCTCATCCCGATCTCAGTCCTGTTGTCCTGTTGTTGCTCAGTAACAGGAATTAAATATAGTCAGTGCTCTTTAAGTTTTTCCATGCCTTCCATCCAAAGGCTTTCTCTCTCTCTGTCGTTCTCCAGTGAGCGCATGGAAAACATTCTTCATGCAGTACGAGCGGTTGTTGTCATAGGCAAAGGGCAGTCGCTCTCTGACTCATACACACACACACACACACACTCATTCATTCAGGGACCCCATCGAGAACTTCACACCTTCTCCATACAGAAGGTTCCCAGTGTTCTTCAGAAACCAACACAAACACACACAATGAAGAAGGGGTCAGGAACAGAGCGGCCTTCTGTTCTGCTGCACACAGAGACCAGAGCGAGCGCAGTGTACGTGGAGATTTCTATAGGCACTCCCCTGGGAGCCACTCGCTTTGGCTGAGGCCTTTTTTCCCCTCAAAACCTCTTTTGCGTCATGCCTAAAAACACACGTTTTATCAGTGGTAGAATCACTGTAACGAGGCATGTCTGCTGTTTGCAGCATCATAATGCTTGCCAATTATTACAGACATGTTTGACAAGCTACTTGATTTAAAGTAGATAAACAATGTACAAGCTGCACTACAATATACTAACAAACAGTGTTTTAGTTTAGTTAAATCTAAAGAGATATTCTTTATAAAAGTTAAGAATCAGCCACGCCTACCTAAAACGGCTCGTTCTAACACACCCCCACATGTCTACATCACTGTGTGGGAAGATTTGCATAACGCCGCCCAAATGTTCACGCAAAGAAAGAAGGCGTAACTTTTCTTCTCGCTGTAGTATTTTTGTTGCCGCCATGTCTTGGATTTGGATTTCTTGGATTTCATGTCTACTTTGTTTGGCCTCTCAAAAGAGGACGGTATCCGCTTCGTCATGCCTGGAGCTGATCTGTGCTGGTCGCTGAGGAAATACATCAACTTAGTGCTGTGGATCGCCGGATCGGCTTTCACCGTGGACGAAGCCCGGGGTCGTCACATGTGGTTGCCGCTCCTTCGTCAAATCCGCCGGGCACGCCGTTCTCGACCCCGCTGCCTTTGCTCACTCTAGTCCGGCCTCAGCTCATGCTAAGCCACAGCTTTCGCTCACCCTACCTAAAACGGCTCGTTCTAACACACCCCCACATGTCTACATCACTGTGTGGGAAGATTTGCATAACGCCGCCCAAATGTTCACGCAAAGAAAGAAGGCGTAACTTTTCTTCTCGCTGTAGTATTTTTGTTGCCGCCATGTCTTGGACTTGGATTTCTTGGATTTCATGTCTACTTTGTTTGGCCTCTCAAAAGAGGACGGTATCCGCTTCGTCATGCCTGGAGCTGATCTGTGCTGGTCGCTGAGGAAATACATCAACTTAGTGCTGTGGATCGCCGGATCGGCTTTCACCGTGGACGAAGCCCGGGGTCGTCACATGTGGTTGCCGCTCCTTCGTCAAATCCGCCGGGCACGCCGTTCTCGACCCCGCTGCCTTTGCTCACTCTAGTCCGGCCTCAGCTCATGCTAAGCCACAGCTTTCGCTCACACTAGGCCGCAGTGTTTTTCGTTGTGAAAGCGAAACTACTTTGTTTGGTCTTCCAAAAGAGGGCACGACTACAAATCAGTGGTTAAGTTGTATTTACAACATTTAGGGTTGTCGCGGTGAGGGAATTTGCCTTGCGGTAATTTTGAGTGGAGTTGAGCACGATGCAATGCAGTGCGTAAAAAGACAGTATAAGTCATTATAATCTGTAATTATGTCCCCACTGGATGCAACAAATGCCTCGTTTATAATGGGTTTTCATGTTTTTGAATCATTGCTCCGGCTGGACAGGGCATCACAGTACGGTGAGGGGCGTAACATTTCCGTCACACGCTTGAGGTATTCGGCCAATCACAACGCACTGGATAGCTGGCCAATCAGAGCACACCTCGCTTTTTCAGAACGATGAGCTTTGTAAAAATCGACGCGTTTCAGAAAGGCGGGGCATAGAGGAGAAACAATAATGTACAGTATGTGGAAAATAATGTGTTTTTTAAACTTTAAACCGCATAAACACATTTCATTACACCAAATACACAAAATAATAGCAATGTCAAATGACCCCTTTAATACAGTTTGATGTTATAAAGTGGTGTTGTAGTGTTCAGTCATGCTGCCGACAAAATAGCTTGTTATTGGAAAAGCTACAGTATTTTGAAAACACAAGCTACTGTTAAAAAGTGTAGTTGAGGGAGTAATGCTGCTGCTTTTAGGACGTTACTCCTCAACCCTGATTACAGCCTGCACATGTACAGTATGTGTACACAGTAATGCATCCATCATGTAAACGCTTCGCTGACTAATTATTGTTTTGCCTGCAGCCAGTGGCAGCTGTGTCTGACTGAAACTCTCGGGACATTAAAACAGATTTCCCATGATGCAACAGTGTTGTAATGATGTCATTAGGAATGTCATGAAGATTGTCAATAGAGTTATTCAGACACAGAGCGCTCAGCTGATAAGGATTGCATTGTGTTCATTCATTTGCATGTTATGTTTAATATAAGGTCAAAGGTTAAGGGCAGTGTCTTATTTTTGAAAAATACATGTACAGACTTGATTATTAATTATTTAACATTAGGGATGTACCAAGGTTTTTAGAGTTAACAAAACCTAAAACTATATATATATATATATATATATATATATATATATATAGAAAAATTTTTTGTTAAAATAAACGATATCTGAAATCTAATAACATATTAAATCTTACACTAATGTTATTTTAACTAGTTGCCAAAAAACATTTCTCATTATCATTTAGTTTAACTTGATGCTCTAAAATAACTAAAACTAAAATAAAAATTAATTAAAAAATATATTTTTACATTTAAAAATAACTCAAAAAGTAGCAAAATCAGAATAAAATAATAAAACTTTAAATAAATAAAAATGATAATTGACAATATAGAAATAAAAACAATTAAAAATATTATTAAAAACTATAATAGTATTTCAATGATACTAAAATGCACACTGGAATGCACAATATATAAGTGACCATATCAGTTTTAGCCAATATTAGCATTCATTAAATATTGTTGTTGTTATTTTTATAATATTTTTAAAATGTTTTTAATAATGTTTCTGAATAGTGTGTCTGAGCCACTGTTGTTTTAGTGTCGTTTATATACTGTTATAGTTTTTGTTCATATTTTAATATATATTGTTTATATTTTATGTTTTTATTTTAATTTTAAAGTTTTAGTAATTTGTTAGTAATTTTTCCTTGGTAAATAGCCATAATAACATTTAAATTATATATATATATATATATATATATATATTATTTATTTATTTTCAGTTAATGTTGATTTTATTTCAAGCAATTGATTTTTATTTCTATTTTTAATGGTTTTAGTTTTAGTCAAAAATAACAACCCTGGTCCGAACAACATACATTTTTATAATTTTGATTATTAGTCATAACATACTTTTTTTTTTTTTTACATTTTTAGAAGAGAATCTGAGTGGCAAACTTTAATAACCATGGTTAGCAGTGTCATGACTATATTGGAGAATTTCTCTTTGTTATTATTGATGTCTATGTTGATTAAACACATTTTCTGGTTCTGTCCTCAGGCCTGTATTGATGAAAATGCAGATATGGTTGAGTTTCTGGTGGAGAGCGGCAGTGACGTGAACAGAGGAGACAATGAAGGCTGGAGGCCCCTCCACGCCGCGGCCTCCTGCGGCTTCATCCAGATCGCAAAGTCAGTAATGCATTTCCACAATCTAGTGAGCTGCCTACCTAGATGACATGATGCTGCCTTCTAAGATGCCTTGTACCCCAAAATCATATTTGTGTATATATGTCAAGCTAAATCAAATTAAAATGCACTGTGTTATGTGTTTTTAATTTTGTGTCAGATTCTATTGGAATCAACTGTAAGTGGAGTTGTAACTGTTTCAACTGTTTTACCGTTGCAACAATGTAATGTTTTTTTTTTCTCTCCACCCGTTGCAGGTACTTGATCGAACATGGCGCTCATGTAGGAGCGGTGAACAGCGAGGGAGAACTTCCTCTGGACGTCGCTACGGAGGACGTCATGGGGAGACTGCTTAAAGCAGAGATCAAAAAACAGGGTGAGAGATTCAAACCCTAGAAATATGGAGTGAAAGAAGGAGTTTGAGACTGCAGAAAGACTAAGAGATATCGCACCAGTGTTGGCATTAACTAAATCTAAAACTATGAAAAAAAAATAATAATAAAATACTTGAAAAACTTAAACCTAAAAAACTTGAAAATTAAAAATGATGCCTTGGCAAACAACTAGGCTTGCCGCGATAGACGGTGCTGACGGTGATACCGGAGTTAAGCTGCAACACCGGTTACGTCACTTGTCCACCGTGGCACCGACCCCCACCGTCTTTTTGATTTTTTATAGTAATAAAAATCATTTAGTTCAGTTAAAGAACAGACACTACAATTAAAAACTGAATGCGGCTGAGTGAGGTGAGACAGACAAGAAGAGTGAGGGGAGACAGACAAGAAGAGTGAGGTGAGACAGACAAGAAGAGCGAGGCGAGACAGACAAGAAGAGCGAGGCGAGACGGACAAGAAGAGCGGGGCGAGACGGACAAGAAGAGCGAGGTGAGACGGACAAGAAGAGCGGGGCGAGACGGACAAGAAGAGCGGGGCGAGACGGACAAGAAGATCGCGGATGATTTAGTTTTGAAACGAAATGCAAAAGCACCTGTTTGGCAGTATTTTGGATTTTGAAAAGCCTGTTTATGCCGTGCCTCCAAGCTTTCTTATTCCTTTTGCTAATAAACGTTCTACGTTTCTTATTTATTTGGTTATATATTATAAATGTTTACTTAGCCTATTTCCAGGTTTGTATACCTATTTAAACTTTGTGTAAGTTATTTGTTATTTTATATTAGGCATAGCCTGCCTTATAGCATGGTGTATTTAAAAAACAAAATGGTGTTAATAAAAGTTCTATGTTTTATATATAGGCTAAAGTGAGTTTGACGTTGTATTTTGTTGTTGCATTCAAGCAATTGACGCCGAACTGCCGCTAATTCGAAAGTGAAAGTAAAATGCGCACGGCGCCTTTAAGCTATTTGAAAGCGAGGAAAAGTGGGAACGCCCCGCCCCCGCGGTGATACCGGTATTACCGGTGTTGTCACTCGTCGATTAACCGGTGGGAAAATGTCCTCACCGTCACAACCCTACAAACAACTAAAATAAATGTTAAATTTGAAGTCCTAAAATTACAGAAGCTAAAACTGAGAAAGAATAAAAAACTAAAGCTATATAGAAATATAGAAAAAAAAATAAACTAATAAAAATGACAAAAGCACAAAATTTAAATATTATATTAAAATATTAAAATAAATGTTTCTTCAAAATATTAATAATAATTACTATAATAGTATATAAATAATACTGAAAAATATCACTGGTTTGCACGTATGATCAGTGCTAAAGATAAGCCTAAATGTTTCCTGAATGTTTTGTGCTTCATTCACTGAAGCTGCTTACAGATACATGTGATCACATCGCATTTTCTGTGTAAAATTAATTTATCCTGGTGCATCGGACACAACAGTAAAGGACCGCCTACTCACCTGTCAATCATTCATGCTAAACTTTACCGACTGCATAATTGTGTTTATATTAAAATCATTTTCTGATCAAAAAAGTACTTAAGACCTATTTTTGTGCAAAATATAATTTCTTATTTCTTGATTTCTGATATTGAACTGTGACATTTCTTTGCGAGATTCTCATTTGAACAAATAAAGGTTGACATTATCTGTCTTAAACACACAATCTGTCTGATCGTGACCTGCTGCGTTTGATCCCATTAAAACCTTAATCGACGCACAAACGCTCACAGAAGCTCACTGTACATGTGTGTGTGTTTATAGGATGTTTGGTTTTAATAGGAACAGCATGTGAATTTCCCACATCAAAAACTTCATTAAAAACACTGGAGCTGCGCAAGGTTTTTATAAACTTCCTCCTGCAGCTTGTTAGCAGTGATCGGTTTTGTGAATGTGGGTGGGTCTTTGTGTCCTGAAAGGAATAGTTCACACAAAAGTTTGTTGAAAATGTACTCATCTGCAGGCCATCCAAGATATAGGTGAGTTTGTTTGTTTGTTCATCACAGCAGATTTGGAGAAATGTAGCAATATATCACTTGCTCATCAAATGGATCTTCTGCAGTGAATGGGTGCCGTCAGAATGAGAGTCCAAACAGCTGATAAAAACATCACAATAATCCACAAGTAATCCACACCACTCCAGTCCATCAGTTAATGTCTTGAGGAGTGAAAAGCTGCGTGTTTGTAAGAAAAAATCCATCATTAAGGTGTTTTAACGTCGAACTGTTGTTAAAATGCGAGTCCTCTATCCATAATATTGCTTTCTGCAGTGAAAAAGTAATCTCATCTGAATCAGGAGAGAAATCTGCACAGATCAAGCACCGTTTACAAGCCGAAACGGTCCAAAACGGCTCTAAACAAATATGTGGGTGGATTTTGATGTGAGAGACAACAGAAGATGGACATTTTCACTGGAGTAAGCGTAATTATGGATTAGGGACTCGTATTTTAGCCAGAAGTGACAGTTTTAAAGTTAAAAAACATCTTAATAATGGATTTGTTTCTTACAAACATGCAGTTTTTCACTTCTCCAGATGTTAACTGATGGACTGGAGTGCTGTGGATTATTGTGATGTTTTTATCAGCTGTTTGGACTCTCATTCTGACGGCACCCATTCACTGCAGAGCATCCATTGCTGAGCAAGTGAAGCAATGCTACATTTCTCAAATCTATATCGTGGATGGCCTGAGGGTGAGTACTTTTTCAGCAAATGTTCATTTTTGGGTGAACTATAACTTTAAGTCCTTAAGAACAAACTGATCTTGAACCAACAAAAACTCATGGTTCCTCAAATGACCTGTAATGTATTAATATGTTATGAAATCTAAAAAAAATGGAATGTGCTGCCTGAGAAAGCATTATAATAGCTTTTTTTTAAATGAATTTTCAGGTATTGATGTGGATCAGGCCAGGAGAGAGGAAGAGAGAGTGATGCTCCAGGATGCGATGGCTGTGTTGGCAGGAAGTGGCTCTCTGGCCCCTCATCCGAACACTCAGGCCACAGCGCTGCATGTCACTGCTGCTAAAGGATACATTGAGGTCTTAAAGTAAGTGCAAGACACTTCATACTAAACACTAAATGACTAAAAAGCCGATTTTGGATTTAATGAATATTTTGATATAACACGTTATAGACCTAGGGATTTGCTTCGCCCTCTCCAAAGTTTGTTGAAACTTTGATACTTTCCATACTTCAAAAGTTGTGAGATTTTTAAATGTTTTCAAAAGCAGTCTCTTCTGCTCACCAAGGCTGCATCTATTTGATCAACAATAAAGTAAAACCTGTAATATTGTGAAATATTGTTACAATTTAAAATAACTGTTTTCTATCTGAATATATTGTAAAATGTAATTTATTCCTGTGATGCAAAGCTGAATTTTCAGCATCATTACTCCAGTCTTCAGTGTCACACGATCCTTCAGAAATCATTCTAATATGCTGATTCTTCTTATTATCAATGTTAAAGACAGTTGTGTTGCTTTATATTTTTTTGTGAAAACTGTGAGACATTTTTATAGGATTCTTTGAATAGAAAGTTAAAAAGAACAGCATTTATTTGTAACAGAAATCTTTTGTAACATTATAAATGTTTTTAAGTTGTTTTGGCCAGTCATACAACTAGCCAATCATAAAGACTCTGTGAATCAATTTGTTTGTGTTTGGGATTGTGGGTATTTTGTGTCATTGAAGTTGTGAAACGTCTGAAATCAGGCTTTTTGTTCAATGGTTCAGAATCATCATGCATCTGTTTTTTTTTCCCCTAGCTGTCCTTTCAAACCATTCGAGTCTTTGTGTTTCTCTGCTCATCAGGGTGCTGTTGAAGTGTGGGATAGATGTGGACAGTCGAGACAGTGATGGCTGGACGGCTTTTCACGCTGCGGCTCACTGGGGACAGGAAGAGGCCTGCATTCTGCTGGCTGAACACATGTGTGACATGAGCACCATCAATAACGTGGTACGGGGGTCTATTATCACCCTAAAGGTTTTTTTTTTATGATAATGACAGGCTTGAATGTAAGTTTATGGTGGCTAATACATGGCTGCTTAAGGGATAGTTCACCCAAAAATATATAAGTATATTACTTTCTTCATTCAGACATATACAATCAGAGTTATATTAAAAATGTCCTGGGTCTTCCAACCTTTATAATGGCAGTGAATGGCTGTTGAGATTTTGATGCCCAAAAAAGTGCATCCATCCATCATATTAAGTACTCCACATGGATCCGAGGGGTTAATAAAGGCCTTCTGAAGCGAATCAATGCATTTGTGTAAGAAAAATATCCATATTTAAAACTTTATGAACCATAATCTCTAGCTACCGCTAACTGTCGTACACATGTACACGAGAGAGTGGCGTTCCAGCGGATGGTGTAGCATAAGAGGAGAGAGCAAAACAAAACACCGGTCAAAAATTAGAAGTACAAAACGAGGATTTGTAAAGAAAAATTTCGGAGGATTTCGATAAAAGCCAAGAGGAGACTGGTTTTCTTTTGCTGTAAACAAAACTAGCGAGACTAGCATATTCTCAGCAGAGCTTACACTACGCCTACATCGTACACTGGACTCTCTTGTGAACGCGCGTATGACAGTTAGCAGAAACTAGAGATTATGGTTTATAAAGTTTAAAATATGGATTTTTTCTTACACAAACGCATCGCTTCGCTTCAGAAGACCTTTATTAACCCCTTGGATCCGTGTGGAGCACTTTTTATGATGGATGGATGCACTTTTTTGGGCTTCAAAATCTCAACAGCCATTCACTGCCATTATAAAACTTGGAAGAGCCTGGGCATTTTTAATATAACTCTGATTGAATTCATCTGAAAGAAGAAAGCCTTGGATGGCTTGAGGGTGAGTAAATCATGGGGTAATTTACATTTTTGGGTGAACTATCCCTTTACGAAATAAGTAAATAAATGGCTAAAAATATAAAGTGTTGTAAGTGACCAATCACAATCAAGTATTCGTTGTGTATTTTCATATCATAGGGCCAAACTCCACTCGACGTAGCCGATGAGAACATCGTCGATAACTTGGAAGAACTGCAGAAGAAGCAGAACGCTGTAAGTTTTGCATGTGTTTATATGTCCGCTATCTTATCACGTCTTTGGATTATGTTCAAAGAACGCTTTCACCCCGAGCAAATGAGCAGAAATCTTTGTTCATCTGAAAGAAGAAAGCCTTGGATGGCTTGAGGGTGAGTAAATCATGGGGTAATTTACATTTTTGGGTGAACTATCCCTTTACGGAATAAGTAAATAAATGGCTATAAATATAAAGTGTTGTAAGTGACCAATCACAATCAAGTATTCATCGTGTATTTTCATATCATAGGGCCAAACTCCACTCGACGTAGCCGATGAGAACATCGTCGATAACTTGGAAGAACTGCAGAAGAAGCAGAACGCTGTAAGTTTTGCATGTGTTTATATGTCCGCTATCTTATCACGTCTTTGGATTATGTTCAAAGGACGCTTTCACCCCGAGCAAATGAGCAGAAATC